ACCTGATGATTCAAAAGAGGCAGCACTTACTTGCTCCATGTGGTCTGCAACTGTGGGCGAGCTTGCTGTGAGTGTAAATGTCACAGAAGGCGTGTGTATGAGACAGGGCTTTTTGGCTAGCTGGGTTTATCAGGTCTGTCTCCAGGCTGGTGCTTCTTCATGTTCCTCCTCCAGACCAGAGATCATAACTATCCATGAGCAAAATGACCTTACAAGGTGTGATTTCTTCCTGCTTCTGTAGTATTGCTAGAACATGTTCTGCTGAGGGTGTCCTGCAAGTATCCTCTGCGGTAATGACCACAGGAATGCTCACCTGGGCTCTCTCTCTGCTCTGCTGACTGTTCCTCTGCTTGTCACAGCTCACAGATGGGGATATTTCTGAGCACAGCCCCTTGTGTCACCCGTGCTTTAGCAGAGCAGTGTGTAGAAGCAACGAGCACAAGCACTGATGGAAAAACAGCTGAAGATATTCCAAGTGAAGTACTCAAAGCACCTGTGGAATGACACATCTGGGACTTCTCATCAGCCTGTCAGGGGCATCATAAATGAAGGGTGCCTGATGGGAATTAGTGGCATTGAGATGTGAATCACAGCTCTTAGAGTGAGCAAGCTGGTCCCTATGGAGGGACAGTAGGGATGTCAGGATGTATAAGGGCTCCATGGTAATAAGTATTAGTACCCAAGATAAGCATACAAATGCAAAGACAGCTGAAGATCACTTACAGCATAAGTATAAAAGAAACTGGACTGGAGCTTATTAACTGATTTTTTTTTTTTTTTTTTTCCAAAAATGCACTGAGCATTAATTTCTGGCTCTTTCACAGAACTGTATGGCTTGATAGTGCAACAGTTTGGAGGAAGAGCTCACAAGGGTTTTGGACTTTCTTTGGAAATTCTCCACAGAGAATTTTTCCTGTGTTGAAGAACAGACTTCTGTTAGGAAGGCCGTACTAGTTTAAGATTTATGCACCTGTGGGTGCTTGAATCATGTTGACTCATTTGAGTGTAATCTAGGTAATAGATCTGGGAATTGGAATTGTGTAGCAGTATTTGGCTAATATATAGAATCTAATTGCAAGCCTGGACACAGGGCTTGATCTTAGCTCCTTTATGCTGCATCTGGGCAGATGCAAAGGGATTTGGGAAACCAAGTGAAATGATGCCAGTAATGCCAAAAAGCCAAAGCTGATGTAGCTGATATAGGGAACTGATCTTAAAAGCTCTATGTTGTGTTTGGTGTAGCCTCCTGATGAGCCAGAATATGCCTATTAATTTGGCTGATGAGCTCGCTGGAGGAGGTTCAACAAGACCAAGTGCCAGGTCCTGCACTTGGGTCACAACAACCCCAGGCAGCCCTTCAGGCTGGGGGAAGAGTCTGGAAGGATGCCCAGCAGAGAAGGATCTGGGGGTGTTGGTTGACAGCAGCTGAACATGAGTCTGCCCAGGCAGCCAAGAAGGCCAGTGGCATCCTGGCCTGTGTGAGAAACGAAGCCCACGCCTCCAAATGTTAAGAGTTTAATGAGGGATAACAGGGGACAGATCAACAAAGCAAAAGTAACGGCACTGTGTGTGTGGCAACAGCCAGAAGCACACCCAGTTCTTTAGCAAGCAGCCCTTTATACTGCTGCAGTTGCATGACTTCACCACATGATCTTGCACATTTCTTGGGGCCTGGTTACAACTCTGCCTCAGGCTGTCACAGCATTGCATAAGTCCACAGCTACAGTCTCCAAGGGTCCGTCAGGGAGGCAGTCCAGGGTGGTCTTCTGATGCCACTCTAGACTTAGAGAACTTACAGAGAATACCATAAATGTATTCTCCTTTTATGGTATTTTGTTCTCTGCCTTTGCTGTCTCGGTGTTAAATAACCATGTAGTTGTTGGCTTTCACTAATTATGTGTTGGCTTTTGCAAATTATTAAAGTGGATGCTGTGTTGTGCATTACAACATTAACTTTTGCAGAAGTAGCTGTAGTAGTGAAATAATAAGGAATACTTTTATTTTTGTAAATAACTGACAATATTGAGAATAACTCAAAATATATTTGTGAAATAGCTAGTGTTGATTTAAAGTACTTGTGGAAATAGATAAAACCATCTGCATGGTCAGATAACACTTAAGGAATGGATGGGATGAGGATCCCTGCTACTGACCCTTTAACTGTCAGTAACTCTCACCTGCTGAAACCACAGAACAGGCGGCCGTTGTGAGGAAGTGACACACAGCCCTCAAAACCACATCCACGATTACTCATGTACTCTAAAAAGGTGGGTCAGGGGTCAAACCAAGCTAGAGAATTCCCAGAACATGTAAACGAGTTCAAAGAAATGTTTGAACAAGTATAATCTTTATGAATATGTACTTGGCCAATGCAATAGAAAAAGCATATAAGAAGAGTTACTGTGGTTAGCTGATGTGCCTCTGGCCGTAGCCAAGCACCCAACACTGTTATTGATTTGTCCCTTTTATCCCTTATTAAATTTTTAAAATTTTTGAAAAGTGGAATTCATTTCTCACACCTGTATTAGCAAGAGTGTGGCCAGCAGGACCAGGGCAGTGATTGTACCCCTGTACTTGATCCTGGTGAGGCCACATCTCAAATCCTGTGTTCAGTTTTGGGCCCCTAAAATCAGTGTTATGAATGAGGTCCTTTATGTCTAATTTAATAAACCACAAAATTAGAATTTAGCAGAAATTTTAATTGAGTAGCAATTTTATATAAAATGAATACAATCAAGTAAGCATGTGCAAAGTAAATTTGGCAGTGATTATTTAAGTCTGATTAAGGTTCTGATAAGGCATAAGCAAAACAGATTGGGGTGCAAACCCAACCAGGCTTCATGGGGGGGTTTCTCACCCTGCCTCCTGTACCAAAAAACAAAGGAATCCAAACACAACTTACATACTGTATGCTAATAGATATTCATCAGTATTTTCCCATAAATCTCCTCCTGTTTTTGATTCTTGAAATCTCCATCACTGTACTGCATAGCACGTGCCCCGCTTGTTTCTGAGGGGTCCTCTTGGCTCTTTGGTGGTCGCTTCTGACAAAGGCTTCTCATCATCCTCGCTGTCCTTTGAACAACCCCTCCGGTTGCACGTGCACCCCAAGTCTTGTGTTATAGAAGCCAGCATTATATTCCAAAAATAAGCCTCACTGTTTCATAGGTACCTGGAATCATTCCAATTTTATGGATTTCAAGGCTGATCCCTTAATTATTCTGAGGCCGGGATCCATTTTGGGATATTGCTTATCTCAATACTCCATCCTGTATCCTATTTCTCATGAACATCTGAAAACGTCTGTTTTGTGACAGTAATTATATATCCTTTTCCTCTGTTACTTTTTAACAAATATTTTCTAAAATATTGATATAGTTACAATTGTTAGCACAAATCATATTCATTTATCACATCAGGAAGGACGTGGAGGGGCTGGAGTGTCTCCAGAGAAGGGCAGCAGAGCTGGGGAAAGGTCAGGAGCACACGTCCTGTGCGGAGCTGCTGGGGAAGCTGGGGGTGTTCAGTCTGGAGAAAAGGAGGCTCCCGGGTGACCCTGCCTGTGAAAAATGCCAGGCACTTGTTTTTAAATGTTTAAAAGTTTGATAGTAATAAAATGGTTATTCCTTTTCCTCTGTTACTTTTTAACAAATATTTTCTAAAATATTGATATAGTTACAATTGTTAGCACAAATCATATTCATTTATCACATCAGGAAGGACGTGGAGGGGCTGGAGTGTCTCCAGAGAAGGGCAGCAGAGCTGGGGAAAGGTCAGGAGCACACGTCCTGTGCGGAGCTGCTGGGGAAGCTGGGGGTGTTCAGTCTGGAGAAAAGGAGGCTCCCGGGTGACCCTGCCTGTGAAAAATGCCAGGCACTTGTTTTTAAATGTTTAAAAGTTTGATAGTAATAAAATGGTTATTAAAATAGTAATAAAATTAGAGTAATAAAAATTTGGACAATTAGGATTAGGATGATACGAGACGATAAAACCAAAGAGTTACAGACAGTCTGAGTACCTCTTTCTGGGAAAAATAAGCCCCACAAAGGGGCACACGATAACAGAGGATTAACCCTTAAAAGCAATAGCCTGTTGCATATTTATGCATCTCATTTCATACATCACATTTATGCATACATGATGCATAAATTCCATTCAAACAAAGGATTCTGTCTGGTCAGTGTCAACTTCTTCCTCTTCATCCTGACGGCGTCTTCAGGGCTGAGCAAGGCAGGAAGAAGTTAATTTCTTCTGATAAAGGAGCAATAATTTTTTTTTTCTCTGAAAAATTCAGGTGTCCCGTGGCTGCAAGTACCTCATTCCTCTCTTTGAAAAAATATCCCACATACATAGTTTCTATTGTAACTACAAAAGCTACATTTTAACTACAAAACTACATTTACCATACTATTAAAATGTTAATACAGCACTACTAATCAATACAACAGAATACATATAGTAAATATCTGCGTAGAGCCGGATAATATATGCACTTTTCACACTGCCGCTCTATAGAACTGCCTGAAGGCATCTTCCCCTGGCAGCAAGTGACGGGAAGCGGCACCCGGGGAGGCTTAGGTTGAACAGTAGTTCTGTGACTCTGTCAAAAGCGAGCACGGGGTTAGGGAGGGATGCGGGAAATCACTTTTCCCATGGTGAAAGCCCTCGGGAAATGGCTGTCCGGCGGCGGCCCGCGGCAGTGCCTGGCACGGGTATCGAACCCGGGTACCGGCTCCGTGAGCCCGGCACGCCCGCAGGGGTCCGGCCACGCCTCCCGTATTACGTAACGGGCGCCTCCGCGACGCCTTCCCGCCAGCCACGCGAGGGCCGCAGCCAATCAGCGACGGGCCGGTGTACGGGGCGGAGCATGGGCCGACGCCACCGCGCATGCTCCGTGCCCCAGCCGGGCGCTCTCGCTTCCGCGCGGGAGGGTTGAGGGCGGGGGAGGAGGCGGCGGGAGCGTCGGCTCGCGCGAGCCGGGCCGCGAGCGGGCGGTAAGTACCACCGCGGGCACGCGCGGCGGGGGGAGCGCGGAGCCTCCTCAGCGCCGGTCCCGCACCCCCGCTCTCCCCGCAGTGCCTGTGAGTGGAGCCGGCCGGGGCTCGGCTGAGCGGCGGCGCCGTGAGGCGGCACCGGGACCTCCGTGAGGGCCGCCCCGGAGGCCCGAGGGGTGTTAGGAAGGAATTCTTGGCTGGTGAGAGTGGTGAGGCACCGGCACGGGTTCCCCAGAAAAGCTGTGGGTATCTGGTGTCTGGCGGTGTTCAGGGCCGGGCTGGATGGAGCTCTGAGCAGCCCAGTGCAGCGAAAGGTGCCCTGCCCACGGCGGGGGTTGGAGCGAGATGCCCGCAAGTGAGAGGTGGTCAGAAAGACAGCTTTGTTCGTTCCTTCTTCTTCCTTGAGAAATCTGGATGTGTTTGTTCTGTACTGACGTGGGGAGAAGGGGGAGGTGAGTGTTGGTCGTGTTTAGCTGTGAAATCTCCAGCCCTGCTTCTCCAGCCCTCGTCCCAGATGAGGGACACACTGAGTGTGGGGTGACGGGCGTGTGATTCCTTTCTTTCTTCCCGCTTCCATAGATCCAATCCTGCACTGCGCTGGAAGGAAGAGCCGAGCAGGAGCTGGGACAGTGGGTTTCAATAGCGTGCTGGAATTCAGAGCATTGGGTTCTTTTCCTTACTCCCCTATGGATGTACCAAGAGACTCTGTGCCTTAGCTTCCTCCTGTGTAAAAGATGGATATTTACATACAAGAATGCTTTCAGAACTGGGTCTGGAGAACAAATACTTCAGCAGGATTGCTGAATTTGAAAGTGGTACAAGCCCTGCGCTCTTGCCAGCACTGTTCTCCCTTTTTACTTTCCGTTTCCTTTCCCGTCTTCTTCCCTTTAGTCACTGTTGTGAAAAAATAAAGAACCGAAACCAGCAGCCCTCCTTCTAGGAAATGGCACAGGTACAAGAGGAGTGGCCAGGCGTGACTGTTCTCTCAGCTGCTGCTCTGCCTTCTGTTTTGCTGTGTCATCTGTCCTGTCATGAGCGGGGAGCAGCAGAAGCCCCCCAGATCTTACAGCTGAATTGGGCCTCCTGGGTTCCCTGTGGTGGTGACAGTGGAAGCGAAGGGTTGCAGAAGGATTTGGGACAGCAAGGAATTGACTGTAAAACAGCAGGTGAAAATCCTGCATTGATAAGTGGAAGATGATGGATGTGGCAGAGAAACAACCATGGCACTGATGCCCTCCCTACTTAATCTGTTGCCACTTAAGGAGGAGATCTGGGGAACTCTAATACTGGTCTGGGGTTGACAGGGTGGTGGTGTTGGGTTGCTGTTTGGACTTGATGATCTCAGAGGTCTTTCCCAACCTAACTGATTCTGTGGCAGTATGTGACTCTCACTGAAAGGTGTCCCTTCTGGGGTGACCAGGAGGACAAACCCATGGATCTGTCCCTATGATTTCTGTGTTGAATTCTCCCCCTCTGGTTAGCTACAAATCAGGGTACTGTTGTACCTTCCATTGTTTGTGGTCGCGTTGCATGGAATACCCCAGAAGTGTGATTGGTGCAAAACATTTCCTGGTAAGCAAGGGAAGGAACAAGGCCACACAGCTCTCACGCTGCCTCACGTTCCTCTCCAGACCTGTGGCAGCACAAACCACCAGCCCTCCACCCAGTTTTGTCTGCTCTGATCACCGTGGGCCCCCTTGCTTGTTGAGCTTCGTGTTTTTTCACTGCTTTATGCTTCCAGCAGTAGTTCTCTGGAAGTGTCAGCTCTGTGCTCAGAAGCAGGCTAAAATGTGATTGAAATAGTGAGAATTATTGAGGAAATAAGGAAAATACAGAGTGATGTTGTGGCTTTGTAGTGTAAATGGTAGCCCATCCTTTTGGAGGTGGTATGCTTCTCTTTGAGTGTAGCCAGAAGAGTAACGAGAAGGGATGGAGAAATGACAGAGGTGAAAAAAACTGCAGGCCAGCTTCTGTACAAAGAAGAGCTAAATAGTTTCAGATTCCTTTACTTTAAAAAGAAACAGCAGGAGAAATAGTAACAGAGCAATGCTGTCATGAGTACTGCTGAAAGAGTGGAGCAAGGATTTCTTGCCTTTTCAGAGAGATCCAAGTGTTTCAGCTGGAATCCCTGAGTGGCTTGAGCACTGCAAAAGCAAGGCATTGTTCAGATGAAATGTAACTAAACTGTAAAACTGGAAACCTGCCCTTAGCCTCTCCCTTCTTGTGTAGGAGCAGCCAACCAGCTCCATTGCCCCGTTCAGTTCCATATCCTCTTCCTGGTAGTGCTCTGTAGCAGAAGGCTCAGGAAGAGCACAGGCTCCTGTGGGGGTATGTCGGGTTTGCATGGCCAGGTTTGGGTAGCAGGGGGGCTACAGGGGTGGCTTCAGTGAGAAGCTGCTTGAAACTTCCCCCGTGTGCAGCAGAGCCAATGCCAGCTAGCTCCAGGACTGACCCTCTGTTTCCAAGGCTGAGCCCAGCAGGAATGATAGTAACACCTCTGTGGTAACTTTTAAGAAGGAAAGAAAAAAAGTTATTGGGCAGAGAGGAGTGGAGTGGGAATATGTGAGAGGAGCAACTCTGCAGACACCGAGGTCAGTGGAGAAGGAGGAGCAGGAGGTGCTCCAGGTGCCAGAGCTGGGATTCCCCTGCAGCCCAGGGTGCAGACCATGGTGAGGCAGGATGTGCCCCTGCAGCCCAGGGAGGTCCATGGGGATTCAGAGATCCACCCACAGCCTGTGGAGGAGGTGGGTGCCTGAGAGAGGCTGTGACCCCGTGGGAGGCCCGTGCTGGAGCAGGGTCCTGGCAGGGACTTGCAGACCCATGGAGAGGGAGCCCACACTGGAGCAGGTTTCCTGGTAGGACTTGTGACCCTTGGGGGAACCAACGTTGGAGCAGGCTGTGCCTGAAGGAGTTCACCCCATGGGAGAGTGACCTGTGTTGGAGGAGTTCATGGAGAACTGTTGTTCATGGAAAGGACTCACGGAGATGTTTGTGGAGGACTGTCTTCATTGGGAGAGACCCCACACTGGAGCAGGGGAAGGACTCTCCCTGTGTGTGGCAGGAACAGGGTGATGGACTGACCATAACCCCCATTCTCCATCTCCCAGTGCCTCTTGGGGGAAGGAGGTAGAGTTTGGAAAGAAGGGAGGGATGAAGGCAAGGTGGTTTTAAAATCTATTTTACTTCTCATTATCCATAATTCAGTTAATTATACCCGAGCAGAGTCTGCTTTGCCTGTGATGGTATTCGGTGAGGGATCTCTCCCTGTCCTTAACCCATGAACCCTTTGTTATATTTTCTCTCCCCATCCAGTTGTGGAGGGGAATGATAGAGTGGCCTGGGGGAGTTCCTGGCATCCAGACACGGCCAACCCACCAGAGGGGGACAGGATACAGGGCTAAACAGGGCTGTAGGTGCAGGCTGGCTGCTTCTGCACAGAGGAATGGCCAAGAGCTGGACTTCCACTGCTTCAGGAATCCTAGAAAGGTGCTGGAGTAACCCCAAGGCTGACCATGATCAAGTGTCTTCTGTCCTCCATCAGCATCAGGATTTCTCTGGAGCCTGTAAGAACATGAGGGACTGTAGAGTCCACGTTTACCCCTTCCTTAAAAAATTCCTAGAGCTGGATCCTCTGACTAGGCCTGAGCAGGCACTATGTGTCTGCATTGATTCCAGGTATTGGTTTGCAGAGAGCTTTTCCTGTATTCTAGGCCATTCAAACTCTAGCTCATTCTTCTTTTGAATTTCTTTCTTTTCTATTCTAGTTCTAATATGTCCTTGTGTTTCTGTTTGTTTATATTGTATTTATGTATTGCTCAGGTTTTGAAAGTGGTATGATGGTCAGTGTATAGATGAGTATTGGAAATCATTTTCTACCCTTCCTTGCTCACAAGACATAGAATGACAGAGGGAAAAAAACTCCAGCTGTGTGCAAAGTGACTTGTGATTACAAGTAAATTGTCCGTAGTGTAAGCCAGAGGGGGAAAAAACATAAAAAATCCTCTTCTACTCTGGTGGTGCTTTCACCTGGGGCTACCCAGTCTGTTTTATGCAAGCAGAATGGGGGCAAATGAAAACTGTTTGTCTATTGAAACCCAGAAAAAGGTTGCAGGATTTGTTGGCCTTACTACCTCTCACTAGAATAATTTAACTTCAGATCTTCCTATTTCTTGAAAGTAAATGCAGATTTTTCTTCCCCTTTGTCGTACAGGAGTTTGTGCTGTCAGAGGTGACGTCTCCAGCAGAGGATAGTTTGGAGTATCACGCCTTGTAGGAGTGGGAAGTTGTTGAAGATTTCTGTGGTGGACTTGCACAAAAAACACAAAGTAAAATTTCTGCTACAAATGTTGTGGGGTGATGCTCTAACCTGCTGATGGGGATGTGTGTAAAGGCTTGTCCAGAAACACTTAGACTGCTTTTGTGAAGTATGTGGGTGGCCTCAGAATTTTGCAGCTGCTGGAGAAAGACTATGTGAAGAACAATTAAGACTTGAGTGGATATGGCCAGGAAAAGATAACAAGTGTCCCTGGGGCAATTCCCAGGGCTCAGGGAAAATTCTGTCACCCTTGTTAGCATTTCACCTTGCTGAGAGAGAATGTTTGAATCTCTCACTTATGATTTTTCTCTTGTGCCCCAGTTTACTTGCAGACCTCTCCACGCTACTTTGCTACATCCTTCTTACAGCAAGCAATTACTGTTTCTTCCTTGTTTTCTGTGAACTCCTGGAAAGCACTGGTGAAGCTTGGGGGCAGCTGTTTTTCCATCCTTTGTTGACTCGCACATGGCAGCAGTAGGTTAAGAAAACACTACTGGTTCTACTGGTATTTGTTACTGGAGGAGCAAAGCACCAAGGGTCAGGGGATGTAGGTGAAGGAGCACTTAAAGGGCAGGAGTTGGCGGGCTCTGCTTTCCTCTGTCCTGCTTGGCCTATGGAAGTTGTCAATTGCTTTGTGTTTTGTCCCAGTTTTCCTGCCCTAGGTGCTTTCTGAATAATGGCGAAGATGGTGAGAACAACATGTGCATTTTGTTCAGAAGGGGAGGCTGGCTCTGTGATGTACATCGCCACAGAGAGAAATATTGCAGCTCATCAGGATTGTCTGGTGAGTGCCTTTAGCTGGTCAGTACTGAAGAGAAGTGGAGAAGGGATAAGGGGGAAGTTTCCAGTGCTTGTCTCTTTTTAGTTTTGCAATGATGTCTGGATTGAAAGGCTGGTTACTCAAACCAGCAAGTTTATATTAGATTGAAAAGCTCAAAAAGCAACAGGGCTTGGCCGGGATTTTGGAGTGGGAGAGGATGTGTCCGCACAGCTGGAGCTGTTGATTTGAGGTGTTTTCATGTGTCTGTTGCTGAGCAGTGGTCCCAGACACACATGAAAACACCACAAAGACCACATATGGTCTTGCAACAGGAATAGGTCTTCTTGAAGCACTATTGAGAATCATCTTCTTGGATGAGGATGCTCACACCACACAAAATTGTATACTTAAACCTTTGCAGGAAAATATCCATACCATTTGATGGTTAAAAAACTTTTCCAGTGTGTCCCTTATTTAAAATAAGAAATAAAAATATCAGAAGTTGATTATACAAAAATATCTGTGAAGCTTTAAGTGTGTTACGATCCTTCTACTCTTCTTGCCTCCCCTTTATTCTGGAATGTTGGTGGAGCTGGTTCTTGGAGTGCAGAATGAACTACAGCTGCTGTATTCTCTCTTCAGCAGAGGGAGAATATAGCTGAGAGCTGTTTAGCAAAGGAGATTGCTGCTAGAGCAGCTTTCTGGCTGTCACTGTGCCAGCCTTCTTATTCTCACAATTGTCATGTCTACCTCTTTATTTTTCTGATATCTTTTTTGATTGTCTATTTTTTATCAGAATGTTTCACAACAGTGTTGTTTTACAGCACTTGGATGTTTTGTTTGAAACAGGTTTTATTATGGCTTTAATGTTTCTCCAATGTTAAAACTTCTCTCTCCCTCTCTCTGTTTTTTCTTCTTTCTCCTTTCTTTCTCCTCTCAGCAGCTTTACTAATTTCTCTGCCTTAGGCTTGTTTGCGCTGTTTGGGTTTTTTTGCAGTCAGCTATCACCTTCTGAGCAGACAGACTGTGCCTGCTAGTTGATGAAAGGGTAGCTCCCTTTTGTTTGGAATTAACTACATGTAATGCTTGGGAAATGTTTGCCAAGAACTTCCCCTTCCTCGCTCATTGACATGGCTCAGCAGTTCTGTGGGAATTAAAGTGGCCTGAGTGTGCTTGTGTGCATTTTTAGTGGGTTTCTCCCAGGATGTGTACAATGTTTCTGGGTTTTCCTGCAGTCAGCTGTTGTCAGCACTAGGCTGTATGGAAATCTTATTACAGAGAAATGTTGCATCCAGCTGTAGGTCTGAGCAGCTGAGCACATAATATGATGTCCAAGGTGTGGAGGTCTGTTGCCTGAAGATCTTCTCATCCTTATTCTGGGCACCCTGGAATTGCACATTTTCTCTGTTCATGTTTTTAATAAGTTAACTTTCTCACCTTGTTATCTTTTCTTAGTTTGCCTTCAGGTTATGTGAAATCTCCTATGTGAAAGGAGGAACTTCTTTTGACTGCAGAAATGTTCAAGCTTAGCTCCTTGTTCAGTGTAGGTGAAATCTCTTGTTAACACAAAGAAAAATCAGCCTTCTTAGGTAGGGCAAGTGCAAGAAGAAAAGATGTATTCTTTGTCTCTTTTCAGCACTGGTGACTGAGTCATTTTATTTCTTAAAACTGTCTCATTTGTCTTTAGTTATTTTCCTCAGGATTTGTGGAATCTGAAGATCATAACCCAGAAAATCTGGAAATAAGGTTTGATGTGTCATCAGTGTTAAAGGAGCTCAGGAGAGGAAAGCGGCTGGTAAGGAAATGTTTCTGAATCTGCAGTTAGTCCTGTCTCGTAGTATTGAAGGTTGTCTGGCCTCTTCTGTGCTTTGAAAAAACCCATTAAAGTATCTGGTCCTTCTGATCTAGTAAGATTAGGCAAATTACAGGTTTAGCATTGGAGTCATTGATTTAACATTTGTTTTGGTGAAATTTAGTTCATTCTGTATTAAAATGCAGGTGGGTTTTTTTCTGGCCTTTATGTCCTTAGTCGAAGTTTCTTGAGCCTTTGGTGAAGAACTAAGCCAGTGCCTGAAACAAAAGAATGGAATCCACAATTGTAAAGGGGAACAAATTCTGAGTTTAGCAGAAATCAGATTATTTAAGTGAGGGAGTTTTTTGATTGCCTTTGTCTTCCGCTGCCCTCCTCCCCCATGTCCTGGGTGGAACTCTTTTCATTATGAAGTTAGCCTAGGAAACATAAATACAAACATTAGCACCAATTAATGTTGAAATAACTTGGGAAAGTTGCTCGGTGCCCTCGCGTGGCTCTTTGCCTCATTTTACAAATTTGTCAGTATGAAATAGAGGTAAGATAGTAAAAAGGTGGCTGCAGCAATGACCAGGTGGCGTTTGCAGGAGTGAATTTGCCTGATGAATTACACGGAGGTGACTTGCAACGGAATACTGGATTTTCTCACAGAGAACTGCATTTGCCCTGTCTGGCAGGATTTGGAGTAGCTGCCTGTGACATTTACCTGGTGAACCCCCTCCTGTTGCAGGTGTGCAACTTCTGCCGCAAGAAGGGGGCCACGGTGGGCTGCGAGGAGCGCGCGTGCCGCAGGAGCTACCACTTCTTCTGCGCGCTCTGCGACGACGCGGCCGTGGAGACCGACGAGGTCAATGGCATCTACAGGTACCTCGCCGAGTGTCCTGCCAGTCCCTGGGGGTGTCAGCGGGAGGGACTTCTTTGGGTGGGGCTTAAAGGGTTTCTAGGGAAGGAAATAAGTTCCCCTCTCCTAAAGTGATGCTTGATCCTCTGTTTGCAAACTGGGGGAGAAATGTTTTCATTTCACAGGAAAACTTCACTGCAGTGGAAAGGAATCTGTTTAGTGCTTGAGCCTGTAACATCACTGAAAGATAAGAAGGCAAAAACTGAGAAAGTCAGTCTTTACTGACTCTCTAGCCAGTCTTCAAGAACCAAGACTTTTATTAATGTCACTCAGATTCTAAATTTTTTGTTGGTTCAGAAGCTCCAGTAAACGTGGTCTGAGCACAGAGCAGGTTATAGCACTTCTAGGTCTGCTCACATTAGTCAAATTCAGGTAATTTTCCCTCCCCTTGCTAGCAAATAACTTTGATTCCCACCAAAGGCCTTGTATGTCAATTACGTTGCTAGCAATAACATGATTGAATAGATTCTAAGTAAATTTTCTGTCCTAGTCATGCTAGTCCTGGTGTCCTCTGCATTGCTGCCTGCATTGCCATTGACAGATGAAACAAATTGTTTGGAGGATGCAGATGAAGGAGTTGAAAAATTGGGGCTGCAGGGACCTTTTGAAATGCTGAAGTTATAGTAAAGTCTAAGGTGCATAAAAGCCCTGATGCTCATTTCTGTGCAAGGCCAGAGAGGACACAGGTCATGTTAGATTAATTTGGGGATCATCGAATCACTAATTGTTTCAGATAGGGGTGGACTAGTGCAGTCCTTGGGAGGGGTGGAAGATGGGTCCTTTTGTGTCAAGAGACTTGCACTGCTGGCTGGTTCACAGTGCTCTCTGTCTAAAATGAATGCATCTGTGCAAGGCTGTAAGCCCAGCTGTGCAGGGAGGATGGGAGCTGTAAAATCTTGGTGAATCTGCAAAGCTCATGAAAGATGGAACTGGGAAGACGGAAACTTTCTATGATCACAGTATAGATGGCTTTCATCTTATAGCTTTATCCTTTCTAAAGCTCATAGCTTTAGAAAAGATAACTCAGGCTCAAGAAGACTGAACTCAAGATGTTAAAAAACAAGTGGGACTAATGGCTGGTGAAGAAGTGTTTGCATATACAGTTTGGTTTGGTGGCATTTTGGAGCTGGTGACCTTGGAGGTTTGGAAGAGGGACCCTTAAAAATGCTTTGTTTTAGGTCTCTGTGTGAGACTGATAGCCTAGGAAACTAGGCTATAGCAACCTGTATTGAAGAGTTGGGAAAGGACTGGATTAGAGAAGGGTACTAGGACAGCTTTCAAGGATTTGAGCCTAAAGACTTTTGCACAGTAGCAGTGGCATAAATTAAGCACAAAAATTGTAGCTAGCTGAAATTATTGGAGAGTACACTTGAAAAACAGTGGAAGTGGATTGACAGCCCCTGCACATTTTCATGGTGAAATACAACATACTGAAAAGAGAATTCCTTCGAGAGAGGCAGAGCTGGTGGCTTTAAATTCTGAGTTGCCATCGTTGTGATGATGGGTAGTGATCATCAAATCAAATGGAGCAGAATAAAAAGAGAAATGTGGTGCTGTGGAAGTGGCCAGTAAGCACAGAGGTGGAGAAACAAGTGCAATTTGCACTGCTGTCTTGCAAAAGTGATAGTAGGGAAGTGCTTCCAAATAAAGTGGCCCGAGTAGTAAAATATACTGTCTGTACTTTGTAAGATGTTCTTGTGCTTAGGATGGGTTGGTTTTAACTGTGAAAGACTAGAACTAAAAAACATTTTTCAAAGGGCAGTATTAGAAATTCAGGGATGTAAATAAGGTGTGTCCAGTATATAGCTTTCTGATTACATTGTTAGGCATACCTAAATCTGTAAATTTGTTGTGTTTCAAGAAGCATTTCATGCAAAAGAAGTTCCTCATCAAGCCAACAGTCTGCATTTCTAAGGGCAGTGCTTCTGTTTTTGTTAAAAGAATGACAATCATTAGAAAATATCCTAGTAAATGCGGTTCCCTTTAAAAATTGCAGCAGTCTTGGCAAGTAGATTTGTAAGGAAGAGATGAACTAAGCCATGCTCCTGACAAGGCATTTTTGCTTAAAAAGTGACTTGGGATCCTTCTGTAAGAAAGGCATATTGCAAAAGTTGGTTCATGTTCTCTGCACATTATTGTATCCAAAAGATAAAGAATATTTTCAGATAAATTTGTTTCATTTTGCCTCTTCAAAGGAATTCACATTGCTCTCCTAGAACCACTGAAAATATTCCCATTTCACGTATTCCTGAAGTCTTTAAGTAACAAATGGACTGAGCACCTTTAAGCTACTGGATCTCACACAGGGTTTCCCCACATACTCAGGAACTGGGGGCCATTCCGTGAGCACAGGGCAGCGGGAGGGAGGGGCACTGAGATCTCCAGGCAGGTGGGTGCCTGGTGCTCTGTGTGGTGGTGCTGTGTGGTGCTGCCAGCATCCTGCAGGGCTGAGGAATGGAAAGTTACACTGGGCAGATGTGTCTGAGGAGGCTCCTGGCCTGCGTGGGGCAGAGGTGCTGTGATGGAGCAGTGTCAGGACTGTGGCGTTTCACCTTGGGAGCGTTAACCTCATTTCAGTGTCTCTGACACAGTGATTGCCACACGCATGAAATGTGTCTGCCTCAGGGCCTGAGCAGTGGGCAGGCCCAGGCAGGGTGGGCTGATGGAGCTGGTTATTCAGAGCTTCAGTGCTGAGAGTGCACTGGGGCTCTGGGAGTACAGATACAAGGTTGTGCATGCACAGGACTTTAAAGCAGGTGGTTTTTGAGGGGGTAGTGCTGAACAAAAATCATGGTTTTCTTGAACTGTCTTTCAGTTTATGTCTGGTGGAAAGAGGGAAAAATATCTGTTAAATAGGTCAACATAACTCCACTTGCATATTTATTAATAATTCTTCTCTTTTTCTTGAAATTTAACTTAAATTTTAGAGTGTTCTGCCCAAAACATGACCCAGGGAATAGGACCAATCACTATGGTGAGTTTCTTTAATGACTTCATTGATTTCATTTGCTTTAAAAGTTTGCATCCTACAGTCAGTAATTCATAAGAACAAGATAAATATTACCACCTTCATATTGAGTGGTGGATTTCTAATCTGCAGGAGTGGTTTGGTTGAGATCCATATGTATGCACAAAAATCAAGAAGGTTTTTTGAAGTGGGAAAAGTTAAAATTTAATCCTCCTAGAATCTCCTTGAAAACTGAGTTAAACCACTATGGATCCAATCCTTCATGGAATCATTCTTACTCTTCTTTATGAAGTAGGCCCAAGCAGCTTGTAAAATCTGTGTGAGACAGCAGAGCCACACACAAGTTTGTACTAGATTAACAAGGAAAAGGCTGTTGCAGGAGAGGTCACCTTGGAATTTTATCTGTGGTTATGCAGACATTCACATTTGCATCTTCTGTGTTCACTGCAGTAGTTTTTAAAATAGGGCCTTTCATTCTGAAGGATCCCAAAGAGCTTTTTAAGTGTAACAAAAGGGTTGTACAACCCCTGTTTAAGGATTTTTTCCTGTGCTACAGAAATGCAGCTTCATTTGGCAGTCCTGGTCCTTCCTGATTCAGAGGTATTTGGAAATCCCAACCAAAGCTGGACCTTGTTAGCCTAATGCACAGAACTCTGCTCACAGTGAAGTGGCTCCTAGACTGGCCTTCACTTTGAATTTGAGCTCAATTGAACTGTAAGCACTTGTGCTGACAGTGGTGTACTTCCACTGAAGGCTAGCAAATTTTGGCCAATCTTCTTGACAGAGTCTTGCTCCACCCTGATGACACTTAAGGAATGGGTTAGGTGATTATTATTTAGACTTTTATTCATCAGGGCTGGGGTTTTGTGGAAAGACTCCGCAACTTGTAAGAGTTGTAAGGTAGGTCTGTATTTATTCAACACCAGGCACATGTGGGATCTCTCTGAAGCTAGCTGCAGGGTCTGAGGAGCCTCTCTTATCTCCAACAGGCCTCACATTCCTTCCATCTTGTTTGGGGTAATGAGCTCTTCTTATCAGGATCCCTGCATTCCTTTGTCCAGTCTTCAGGCCTTTGCAAGCACAGCAAGTTACAAGCTAAGTGGGTTAAGCAACATACATCGTCTAAAACAGCTGTCCTCTAACTCCAAAATTAATTTCTACCCTAAATTAATTTCTAACCCCCTGTCTCACTTTTTAGCCAGACATACAGTCTGTTTAGTATCTGATATTGTTGTGGTTCACTAACCAAATGCATCTTCTCAGTTTGTTTAGTAGCTTTGCTTTTTACTTATCCATACTTCTGAATCCTGACCCTTTTTCCCTTTTCAAAATTATTTTGATTTCTGTGGTCTAATGGTTGTCAGTGTCTGTTGGGGCTGCCCAGGGTCCCAGGTGATCCCTGTGCAAGTACTGGGCAGGCCCAGGATTGCTTTGTTTCCAGTACCAGATAATATTCAGGCATTAGGTCCAGCCCTCTAGACCATCTTGTTCATCAGGAGTACTCAAGTCTTACAAGGTTGAATCACAGAATGATTTGGGTTGGAAGGAACTTTGAAGATTATCTAGTTCCAGCCTCTTTACCCTGGGCAGACACCCCTTCCACTAGATCAGGTTCTCAAAGCCCCATGCAGCCTGGCCTTGAACATTTCCAGAGACAGGGCATCCATAACTTCTCTGGACAAGCTGTTCTAGAGAGTCACCACCTTCACAGTAAAGCATTTCTTTATATCTAAGCTAAGCCTGCTGTCTTTCAGTCTGAAGCCATCTCCCTTGGTCCTGTCACTGCATGCTCTGGTACAAAGTCATTTTCTGGTATTCTTGTAGTCCCCTTTAGATACCGGCTGGGTTTTGTATCTTCAAATGCTGCATTTGCAATGTTCCCTGAGAAGAGAGTTTTCTCCTAGAGGAATTCCTCCAGAGGCACTTAATTTAGAGAGCTTCTGTTTATGAGGGGTAAATGGATTCTGCTGGCAGTGTCTACCCTGCCTCCTGAATGAGCTTCTCTCATCTTCTGAGAGTAACTGTATCCTGGGAAGTACCCTGGGGAGCAAGTGGGAGAGTTGAGTAGAAGACACTTGGTTCCCCAAGCCCAGTGTCTCCTGCTTCATAGTTTGGAGAAAATGGGGTCAAGGAAGAGCCTCTTATTCTTGGTTCATACAATATTCTTGTGCTGGAATGTCAGGGCTCTGCTGTGTGATTGAAAAGGCTTAAGGTGTCTTATGGGCCAAGAACTCTCCTTGCAGCTCTGTGCAGCAAGGATGTGAGAGCAGCTTGGACTTGGAAACAGGCTCCAACCTCTGTTTAATTGGAAGAGTTGAATGTGGACAGAGTAAGGCTGACAATTGCAGGAGAGCAGCCAGCACTGTGCAGGGCAGGAGTTGGGCTGCACTTCAGACTGTGTTCCTCTTGTATAAGGCATCCTTACAGCAGATATCAGGGAGAGCTCAGGAAATCCCATCATGTGTCAAAAATACCATGCTGAACAGCAAGGAACACGTTGTGCCTACAGCAGTATCTCCCACATTGCCCCAAATTTGGCCTTACAGGTTGGGTTTGGATGAAGTGAGAGACCAGTTTCCTTTCAGCCCATGAAAAATGCAAATGTACAGCACCAGTGCCCAAAGCCCAAGCTTGTTTCCACAGCCTACGTGTACAACAGTGGCTCCTCATTCCTCATGATAGGATGATTTCTAACAGGAAAGGCCTTACTAAGTGCTGCCCAGAGGTTCTAGAATTAAACAGGGAAGGGGAAGTATAACCCCGCTGTACACTAAACATTCAGGTTTTGGTGGGTGGTTGCACTCTTCTCTGCCTTTCTCTGTTCCTGCCATGTCTTCCTTGCCAGAGCTGTCTTTCTCTGCTTGTGATACCGTAGCTGTTTCCAAAAGCTGCCAGTTGTGATGTTGGCAAGAGTCTGGTGCATGCTGATGGAAAGGACACAGTGAAAGCAGAGATAATTTTTCAGAGATCTCGTACCACATCACTACAAACACTTTGTAGCATAAATAATATTAAACTGACAAGTCAAATGGCTTCTGGAGGTTTTCTGGGAGGGTCCTTATGTTGATGAAAAACCTAATGCCATTTGTATGTCTTTGAGACACCTAAGTAATTCTTTATGTAGTCTTAGTTTTGAGGGTGTATTAACATACATAAGAATTGTTTGGAAAAGAAGCCAAACAGTTTTTTACCACCTAGAGGTGGTGCTGCTGCCAGGAGGAATAAGTTCACTCATAGAGTGTTATTGTTAATTCCTCACAATTAAAAATCTACTGAGTTGAAAAGGTTAAGTGATAGCCTGAAATGCTATAATGATGTGCACTTTTTCCTAATGGTTGGTTGATGCTTGCAATTTTCCTTAATGGAAACAGTGTGAATTCTGCTGAAATGTCAGGTTTTTGGGGAAGCTGAAACATGAGCCTTGCCACTCAAAGTGCCTCACTTTCTTAGCTTTTTGGGAAAAGAAGGAATTTATATGATGTGTGATGGTCAGTTTGAGGTTGTCACTTTTGTGACTTTGTTGTTTATTGATTCCTAGCTGCAACTAAAAAGAAAAGAAGACGTACACTGGCATCTCCCACCATCACCGAAGAAATGGTAATTCTGAATTTCAGTAATACTGAAACAGGGGACCCACACCTGCTACAGCAAAGGATTTACTTATCAAAGTATTCTGACAATGTTCAGAAAGAGACTTGGGAGTTCCCAGTAGGCATTTGTTAACTTCTCTGCTGTTTGCAAATGCAGTGGTGCCCCAGGTGTCTGGCTTTTCTTAAAGCATTTTTGCTTTGAAGCAGTTTTTGCTTCCATTTTCAAAATAGAATGTCCGCAGAGGAATATTGTTAGCCATTCAGAGAAGCTGACAGAAAGCTTCTGTGAGAAGTCACAGAAATGTGGACTGCTTTTTATCTTTCTGCTAAGACACAAGTATGATAATGACAACAGCAGTAAATGTCAGCATGATGTAAAAAAATGTTGTTTTGATTTTCTTACAGAGTACAGAAGAGACAGCAGAAGAAAACAGTTTGCGAATACTAAAAAGGAAAAACAACAGGCATAAAGGTGAGACTCACTTTGATACCGAAAGGGTTAATTCAGTTTTTACTGTGCCTGTGAAACTTTTAGCAGAGAAACAAGGCATGCAAACGCTGCTCCTCCAGCAAGGACAGTGGGAAGACACGAAGAAGATATGTGGCTCAAGAATGCAGTGGTAGATGGAACAAAGGACTTATTCTCTGGGAGCATGGGGTGGGATTTATGATCATGGATAAATTGTAATATGTATGTAGGGAGTGTATATAAGCAACACACTTAACGTAGAACCAAGGTGTCCACATAAGGTTAGGAGTATTCCCTGCAGGGCCTTGGGCCTGAAGAAAGGATGCTGTCTTTAACTTCAGTGTTAAGGAGCCTTATTCTGATATTTTGGACATTTGGTAACAAATTTATGGAGCAACTAGGAGGCACAATGATCTGTTATGTTGAAGTGCAGAGCTTGGAGATGGCTGGTAGCAAATTCTGTGCTGGAAATGTATTTTTATGATTCTCCTGAGACAGGTGGCTCTCTGTGCTCTGGTGTGGCAGCAGAAGTCTGATTTGCAGAATGTTTTAATAACTGTGCAGCAAACAAATGCCTGTGGTTTGGCTGAGTGAGACTTGCTGTGTGATGTGAGCTGGTGATTCAGATGGGAATGCCCCACTCTGGCTGGCTGCTGCATTCAGCTCTGTCTCCTGCAGACAGGGTGCCTCTGCCTGACGCTGCTCCTCCGTATCAGAACAGTTAAATCCAAATGGGAACCCTGGAAGGCTTTAACAGGGGAGGTGCTCTGAGGAGGGGGCAGCACATCTTGCCTTTGGAAGCCTGGCTGTACACAGGGTGCTTACACAATACAGGCTTTCACTGCATACATATGGAGTTACAACAGCGAGATGGATCACAGGAGCTATCTTTCAGTCCTGCAGTTTTCATATTACCCTGAAGCTCCTGCTGCAGTTGCTTGTTGGGATTCTGCTGGCACTTGGAGGTTTGGAATGTGCTGGTGGTGATTATTCACCTCACTATGGATATGCTTAATGTATGGGCATGGTATTGCAAGTGGCTGTGGTCTTTTCTGAATTTCATTACCACTGTAAAGAACAGGAAACCTATAAAGAATCCTGGAATACTCGTAGAGCGTCTCATGTAAGTGAGATGGCATTTCTTTCCTCACAAATGTCTCCAGTAAAATGTAACATTGTTTTTAACAGAGACTGGCAGACTTTTGTGAGCTGTCCAAAGGCTCTTTGCTTTTGAACAGCCCATTGCATTGATCTTACTAAAACTTGTCGCTGACCTGCTGCTCAGAGATAAAGAAAAAAATGTTATTTCTCTATCAATCCAAATCTGACAAAGTAGGTACATAAAATGGGCTGTAATAAAAAACTTTAGTTGCCTGGATCACTGGGAGTAAAAGTAGCCTCAATTTTTACCAAATCTAATACTGATTCATTTTTTGCACCGTTTTCTGTGCTTTAGCCTGTTCAGTCCATGGTGTGGTCCTAAGGATTGGTGAAACTGCAAGCAAGACAAATCACTAGGGGGTATCATGAGCTTTAGGAATGGCACATTTAGAGTTGTGGAGCTGTTTGCTTGTGATGAACGAAGCCAAATCTAGAGCTTAGGGAATTTTACACCCAGCACTGTGCTTACGTTTGCCTGGCTACTTTTTTGTTCCTACTGAAAAGGACTGTGTGGGTGGCTGGAGGAGCCAGAGATCTGCAAAACTATTTGTTACTGGTGGAAGGGCTTTGGCTAAAATTTTAGTTTCTGAAGAGAGGGAGCAAAGCCCACTTTACAGATCACTTCTGTATGAGAATACTTTTGTGTTTTAACAGTTCGAATAGACTTTGTTAGGAAGTGCAAACAAGCTGGGCTTCTGGATGACATATTTGAAGAAATGCTGGACACACTTCACCTGGCTCAGGAAAAACTGATGGATGACAACACTTCAGAAACAGGTATGTTTCAGGGGGACCCATGGCAGGGACTCTGCTGTCAGAGTAGAGGTGCAGATCTGAATCCTGGGCACTTGAACCTGGGCCGTGTTCCTGAGAATATCGTGGTGCTAAATAACTCAGTCCTTGTTTCTGCAGCTGTGCAGGAGGTTGAGAATGACCTTGCCTTTTGAATGACCACTTGCAGTGAAAGTTCCGAGGAACTTCTCAAAATTATGTAAGAGCTGCCAACTCAGCATCTCTAGAGAGACCTTCTGACTGGAATTTTTGAAGCCACCTTTTACATGTTGGCATAAGCATAGGAAGGTTCAGTCCAGCCTGTCCTCCCAGGAACTGGGGAACAGAGAGGTCCTGACGAGAGCCAGGTTTTATTTAAGTCATAAGTCTCTGTTGCTCTTGCAGCTTCACAGAGGCACCAGCTGTCTGTTAGTATCAGCACTCTCTTCTAAGTGAAAATCCATCCCTAAGTATGTACATTTTAAGGCTTTGGATGATCTGTTACAAGTGTACTGTCAGCTGTTAGTGTCTGTTTGGGGTTTTTATGGTTTCATCCCCTTGTGTGAGGTACTTTGTTTTTAAAGAATTCCAATCTAATGTTGCTTTGTCCACAACACAGTTAAAGAAAATTTCGAACTTTCCTCTCCAATTGTCCTCCCAGTTTTGTAAAGTCAGGAGTAATACCTTTGCATAAAGAAGGCTATTTTAGGCAAGGTAACTGAAGCACATGCATGGAAAGTGAAATGTCCCACCTGGAAAGTCTCCCTTCATGAGTAGCTTGTGTGTCAGTTGAACTCTGCAAGTGTTTTGTATTTTGCTTCAGCAGAAGCCTCAGGTATGAAATCGAGGTGTAATTCTTGGATGTTTCTTAACAGCAAACAGGGATAGCTCAGCCCCATACCTGATGGGTCAGGAGGAGTTGGTGTAGTCAGCTCTGCCGTCACACAGTCCTGGCACACTGAAGTGAAATATGACTTAAGTATATTGCCCTTCTTTAAATGCACTGTTCATGTGGTGCAGATGCAAAAAAGGAATAATCTTCTGTATGAAACTGAAAAGAAAGAATTTACAACTTGATCCTTTTTTCTCAATATAGATTATATGAGAAGGAAGACATTTTAAAACCTGGAGCAGTTAGTATGATAGAAAATAAGTAATTACTGTTTTGTGGTAGTTCTAATGTAGGGCTCTGTAAACCTTTACACAGTAGTATTACATCAGATTATCTCTTTTCCCAGAGTATGAAGAGACAGTGATGGCACTGTTTGACTGTGGACTGTTTGAAAATATACTGACAAATATTTATTCAGGTATGTGCAGAAAAGCTGTCAGAGGAGCAGCTGGTCTGGGGTTTGGCATTGAAGTTATTCAAATGAGAATTTTGATAGAACAATCATTTAAAATGAAAATTCCAAGGAACTTTTTTTCTCAGTGTTATATAAACAGTTGAATAAAAGCCATGGCTAGCTGTATCTTTAGAAATACAATATATCACATGGGGCTGGCTGACCTGCAGGAGGGAGCAACTCACAGTTCCACAACTTTAAAAGGCCAAAGGGTCTCCACCCTAGGGGAACTCCGCTCTCCTACAGCTTATTTGGGTTCCTTCTCCACAGCCCCCCTTCAGCAGTTTGCCAGTGTTACAGCTCTGCTGCTGGCTGACAAGTGCTGGTCAGAGTAGTGCTTTCCACTGAAACACAGCAGCCAAAGGCCAGCAGAACTCACCTGGACTGGGGGGCAATTGAGAATGCTCAGAGGGAAATGTAAACAAAGGCAGGAACAGTTACTTGGGAGCGCCTGTGTGGAAGGAAACTGTGGGGCTTGGATTCTCAGCTGTCTGAAGCAACAAGGCTGAAGCTGTTTTTCAGACAGGCGAATCTCATGCTTCCCATTTCCCTCTCCAACAGTTGTTCTAACTTTTGCTTTAATTTATTCTGGTGAAAAGGGTTTTAATCAGCTGATGTTGAGGTTTGGTGTGTGAAGATGATGTCTGCTCTTTCCCCTTCGCTTGACTGAAAAAGCCAGGCTCCTTCCTTCAGTCTCCTGTTCTTGCACTGAAACTCCTTTTTCAGCAGTTGGAGTGTCCGCTGTTGCAGCTGTCTGACACAAGGTTCCACCAGTGCCCCGTCCTAGGACATTAAAACATCTCTGCTCGGAACTCCTCATGTCACACAACCTTGGATCACACTTGTTTCTTTCACTGCTGCATCAATTATTTCATCCTCTTCTCGGCTTACAGGAAAATCTCTTGATATTGGCACCTGCCTGCACACAACCATGTGATTCTCATGGGTACTAGTTGTCCCCTCTCCAAATCCCCACAACTCAAGCAGCTCAATTCTTCCTGTACCACACAATCTTCTTTTCTGAGACCTTTTAATTTCAAGGTCAATAATAATGAGGTTGGTTCCAAAACTGATTCAAGAGGAGCTCTTAAAATGAAGCAGTGAGAAGGAAATGAAAACCATGTTAATTACAAGTGAAACTGTAGAGGGGAAAGCAAATCACCAGCTGCTTTTTTTTTCTTCTTCTTTTTTTGTTTATTGTTGCTGTTGTCATAATCCCTTATAAGCTCTAGCTAGCTCTGTGGTGACATACTAAGTCAAGGACTACATAAAGTATGACTGGTATAAATACTGTGTTTCAAGCTGATGATTTTAGGTCATCTGCCATGCTTTAAATTCAATCTTTTTGTCACTTCTTAAATCATCATGCAAATCCCGTTCTAAAGCCTTACGTGCCAGCACAGCAAGGCTACTCTGAACTGTAACTGGTGAAAGCTCTTTTTAAAATCCCTTTTTGTATACAGGGATCCACACTCCTTTTGCAGCATGCAGCTTTGCTGCAAACTCAACTGCATGTAAAACCTTGCACACAGGACGTGCTGTTGCCTCAGCAGCAGTTTCAGATTTCTAGGTTGGAGGTTCTTTTCCTCTCCTCCAAGGGAAAGTGACTTCTTTTAGTTTTGTTTTCAGTTCTGTTGTGCATCCTGCTTGGGCAGGATGCCTCCATCAGATTCCCTCTCCTCTGTGCTGGTCAACAGTCTGGCCAGAAGCTTTTGAGCTCCTTGACAAGCATTTGTTTTCAGGGTGTTTGTAGCAGCAAATTCTGCAATTCAGAAAAAGGTTGTGGAGACAAAGGCCCTGATACTTGATTTTGAAACTGTTGTGCAGTTCCTTCACTGAGATCCCCATAGCACTTGGGGCAGTCATCACAGGTCCACGTTCCTCAAGCCATTCCTGATTTTGCAAAAATACATTTTCTTTCCCTTCAGCTCATTTCCTCTATGAGGTGGAAGGTTCCCAATCTGTTACCTGTGTTCCTGTGGAAGCATTTCTGTAGGCCAGTCATTCCCATCACTGACATCTTTCTCTGGGCTCCTTCTATTCCTGCCACATCCTTTTGACAGGAGAGAAACTGAGCTGTGGGTGTTCCATCTGTGGATCTCCCAAATGCTGAATCCACAGGATCACAGAGTGTTCTGAGTTGGAAGGGACCCGCAAGGCTCACTGAGTCCAACTCTTAAGTAGGTGGCCTGTATGGAGATTATGGGGATTGAACCCATAACCATTGGCATTATTAGCACCATGCTCTAACCAACTGAGCTGCTTTGTTAATTTCATTCATTAATTCATATTATTAATTCATATCCAGATACTCTCTTAAGAGGGTTTTTTTCCCCTGGTTCCACTTGTACATGTCCAACTTGTTCAGGTATGTGACCTGAGTGCAATTGGAAGGGGCATCTCCTTCTCTCCAGTCAGAGCTAGGCTGGGGCACCAGGTCCCTGTTCAGTGAACGCTGCCAGAATTTCCCATGAGCAGCAGGCACCAACAGTGCTCTGGCTGCCCATGTTCAACACCCACACCCAACTTTGGGTCATGTATTCAAAAACATGTCTGTGTTCATCACATCCACCCGCAGGCAGCAGGTGCTGTGTTTTCTTACTACAGAGGAAGAAGCAGCAGGGAGGCAAAAGGCCAAAGTGCTTTCCTTCCTTTTTTCTTTTTTTTTCAAATCAGTTAAGGCTCTCTTATTCTGAATGGCATAGAGTAAACAGCTGGAGAGAATTTCTGCACTCTATTCACTGGAACTTTGGAGGCATCCTTCAACATCTCCAAAAGAAGAAAAATACATTTGTACAAAATGTACAAATTTGTACAACTTTTGTACAAAACTCATTTTGTACAAAAATGACAGTTTGTACAAAATGTCTTCTTACTAGAATCTGAACTCTCAACATTCTCACACACTGAGAAGGTTGTTTGTTGTTCACAGAGAAGCCTTGCTGCTCAGAGGTCACCAACACCTCTGTGTGTCCTGCTAACTGAACAAAGCAGGTGCTTCATTTAAAACTTGTGATTAACACTGTATGGTTGTGGTAGTGCTTCTGAATACTGGTAAGGTTCCCTACTTAGCTCTCACTGACTTCAATAATCTTTAATATTAGGGAAATGGAAGCAGCAGAGGGAAGCAGAAATGCAGTCAAGCAGGGCTTTGCAAATAAGGTAAACAACTTGGTTAATCCTATCAGGATACTGTCAATAATGATTTTGTCAGAAGCAGGAGAATAAATGGTATTGAATTCTGTTTTTGAGAATCGAGTTGTTGAATGCAGTTGTCCAAATCATCTGTTTTTAGGTTTAATTTTGTTGTTGGCTAAAATCCACTAGGCTTGTAAATTTGCTTTAGGAGTGTAATTTAGAGATGGTATCTTTAAAGATTTAACATAGACATTGTTGGGGGAGTCCTCACACAAATGGGCTCTGAAAACAGAATCTTTAAAGCTCATATGCCAGTTAACACAGGGGAGTAATAGCTAAACTAGTAATTTTTACATATGCTGAGATGTTTTAAATTGAATCTCAAAACTAGCTCTTCTATAGATGGATGGCAGAGTACATGACTCCTGCTCTGTGCTTTGTCTGACACACCAGCCAGGCTCTCAGCAGACCCAGAGTTCAGCTCTTTGTGAAGACACCGGGTGTGCAGGGTGGTGGGTTACAGACATTGCTGCAGAAAGGCAAAGGTTTTATTGTAGGTTAAACCAGGCAGTGGTCGCTCTGCAGTTAATGAATATGTAATGTGTTTTATATTAGTAATACTTATGTAAATAATAAAAACTTTTTTTTTCCTTAATAATAAGAGCTTTTTACCCCTTTTTCATAATAGGAACAGAAGAAAAAATCCAGAAACTTCTGGAAAACAGAAAAAGACTGGATCACAAGATTGAGGTACTGCAGGACTTAAAAGAATTCATCCTTCCTACTCCAGAGAACATGGCCAGTACATCCAGTACGGTGTCTGAATAACCCCTCTCTGTGATGGTGCAATTGTTAGGATTTTCTAATGATAAAAACCATAGACCAGTCTGGTCAGTGCCCAATGCCCCAGCCCCAAGATGAGGGCTGAATGGGTGCAGGAATGTGGTGTTACACTCATTTTTATACCTCACTGTTGCAATAAAGTCCTTCAAGTTTTCAAATTTTCATCTTCAAATTTTTCCTGGTTCCACTATAAACTTCCATTTATATTGCACAACAGAATGTAAATGTGTATTATTAACTAAATATAGCTTTTGCAAAAACTCAACAAACCCTCCAGGGAAGACTTTTTCCTCAAAGCCAAAGGAGTGTTCTGCTGCCACAGAACAGTTGCTGAATTCCCTTGAACTGTGGGAGCCCTCTCCTGGCTGGGCAGTAGCTGCCTCGCTGTCTGTGTCCAGACAGTGATGGTTGAAGGATCATAGTGCTGCTTTGGCTTTCCCAAAAAAGATTAATGAGCAGAACTTGCACTCAAAGAAGCCTTCTGGATTACAAACAGGAGTTTCATTTAAAAAGCCAAATTATTCTTTATTGACTGGTGAAGGTGTACTGTTTCTGCTGCAATGGCAGTGGTAAAGCAGTGTTTGCAGGCAGACCAGAAAGGGTTGGGCATTATAGTCAGAACAAGTAATGTCAAATGGAGAAAAACAGTGACTGGATCTTCCTTTCTCCATTAAGAAGGGGTTCAACTTTCACACGTTTTGTCTTTAAAATATTGTTTGAATACAGAAAAGCATTGTTTAGCCACAACAGGCTAATAAAATAAAACATTTTTTAAAGGAGCTGTGTGTGGAGTTGTGCTCCCCATCCCTAAGCTGCTGCACAGGACACAGCCAAGAAGGGGGAATGCTGTCAGGCCCTGCTTTTGCTGAGGGACAAGCAGAGCACTGGCAAACACCACTTGGAATTCCTCACTTGAGCTTGTTCTGTAGGAAAGTGGTGATTGATAAGCACAGAATAACAGCATTCAAAACAAGCTCTTGAAGGATAAGGTGTGCCTGATTCAACAAAATAATAGTAATTTTAATTGCTTACAGAGTTTGTCTGCTGCCCTTCTGGGCTTAAAAACATCACCAGTTTACTGCCCAAGGCCAGGACTTGAGGGCCACTGAGCCTAAAAAAAACCGACCTAAACCAAAAATGCATTGACAAACTCTGCCATTAAACACAGTAAGAATGATAAGGATGGTCCATACATACCGTCTGAAGGGTTACAGCCACTTAAGGATGACTTAGTAAAAAAAGTCAGATGGAGTGAACCACTGAGGTCTAAAATTAGTGCCTAGAAAGATATTTGTGAACTTCTGAAATCAAGATTACAGGTGTTTTGCCAGGCACAGTGAAAGCAGCAAGATTCATTGTATAGGATGAGTTGGGTTTTGGCTTTATTTGTTGTTTATTTGGGTTTTCCTTTGTTGTTGAAGTTTTTTAAATGAAGCAACTTAGATGCTGTATGTAACACAAAAAGCTTGCAATGTTCTTCAAAATCCAAAGTTTGCTAGTGAAGAGGTACAAAAAAGTGAACTTTATTACATGTAGTTTAAATTTAGACAAGAATTAAAAGCAAAATCCCACTCAGCTTTCCATTCCCCCTCTGAGGGAACCAACATAATCTGAAGTCATTTCCATTAAGCATTATAAATATTGCTTGAACAGATTACACAAATTACACATTGCAACTTATATTAAAATATACCCAAATATAGAGATTTACTTCAAATTAGTTCTCCTAGTAACTCCTTTCTTCGAAGTCACTTGCGTAGGCTTTGAAGATAAATTATTTTTGCACACTTGAAGCACTGGATACACTTGGTTAATTACAAACAGCAAATGGCCAATTCATTCACAATCATGCAAATGCAGGAAGAGAGAACCATGCCATTTGCTTCTCTATAATCCCAGGGAGTTAATGATTTAAGTGCCATCATTCAGTGGCCCAGGTCAGACTATTTTCCAACCCCAAATAGTAAATTGGAAATACGAGCAGGCGGTGCTAGAACAGAGATTTCCTAGGCTGGAAAGGCAAGTCCGAACACCAGCCGGAATCCTTTGCACACCGCAGCGTTCCCTGTTTGCCTGAAGCCTTGAGCTGCATCCACCATCCAGGTTTGTTAAATGCAAGTGAGTATTTTGCTTGACATTCTTACAACAGTTCACTCTTGAGCACTAAAAACATTTGTTTTCACTGTGGCCTTTCAGGTCCTGTGGTGGAAGAGCCCACCTAACACTTGCCTGGACCCACACAGTTACGTTGTAGCTGGAAAAAGAGCCCCACAAACACCTTGACTTACGGCCTCATTTTTTTCAGTTCTTAAAGGCTCCACATTTACTGGCTTTAGCAATAAATTCCTTTAGCAGGGGACCATCCATTTGCCAAAATGCTGTAGTTTGTGTCACTTCTGTCAAATGATTGACACAAAACTTAAAGCAGAATTCCTCTAAGTCCTAAAGAGGTGGGGAAAAAAAAAGAAAAAAATGTTATCTTTGCTTTCAATCAAAGAAAATATCGTTGAGGCACAAATGCCTGTTTATGTTTTATTTTTGCAGCAAATTGGACAAACACATCCAGTGGCTCTGTTTCCCCCCAACAGTCACCATGTAAATGCAACAGCAAATAATGATTCTACCCACATATGTCACTATGTAAATGCAGTTACAAGGGGAAGTAACCAAAATTGGTTTCTCACTATATAGCAGCAGTCACAAAAAACAGCTGTTCTGAGCAATATATATTGTAAGTTCTCACACTTGAAGAGTTTCATCTGCATTCTCTGACAACTTTGAAACCCTAACGTAAATAGGAGATCTTGGGGTAATGATGTATAACCAAGACTGTGGATAAAAAAAATTCAGCTCTTTCCTTTCACAATATGAACAAATCTATTTGTAAGTTGCTTGACTTCCTTCCTGCTTCTTGAAGGGCTTAGCTAGGGCCTTCAAGTTCCATGTCCCCAGGCTCAGTGCACGTGTATGGTGACTGGATAGCTTGTACAGCAGAGATTAGGCAGAAGGTCTTTCTGAGCATTAGAAACAGACTCTGCTACAAAGTACTTCACAGGGCTCCCCAGTGTGATTCAAATGCAGTACTGGAGCACGGTGCAGCACAGCAGCCCTTGCAGAAAGTGGGCTCCCGATATTTGAGTTTACTTGGAAGTGCCTCCCATGTAATAATTGGAAAAGCCTAGCAGCCCTCATTGCACCCAGGTGATGTCAGACAGAGAAAATGCCTTAAAGAGCACAAAAAAAGGCACAGTCCTTGTCTGTGTAAGGTTCCCCACAGAACACTTCCCACTCAGATGATTTCCAACTCCTCCTTTGAGGAGGAAATCACTCTGTGGTGCAGATCTAAGCTGCTCTAAGGAGGGTGCTGCAGCCCTTACAAAAGGGCAACTGCCCACACTGTTCTAATTTCTTTATTAGATGTTTGTAGGACTGTCTGTATGTTAGAACACAGCCTTCCTTGGCTGCTGAGCAGACTGGGCACTGCAGAAAGGCATAACAACTTGCAGAAACTCTTAAGTCCCATGAAGTAGGAAACACTGAATAATATTCATGTTTTCTCTTAAGGTCAACACTGAAACTAGAGCAACTGTGTGTGCCAGTGCCAGTTCTTGACACAACAATAATATAAAAATATATCCTGGCCTAAAACCAGGCATTCTGAAGCTGCAGATCTTGACTTGTGTGGCATCTGTGCAACAAAAAAAGACAATCTTATTAGAACTGAACACTGACAGTTGTGGTATTTTTTAATAACAGAATTAACTAGCATTTTAAAGAAAATTACATCATACACATTACAATATTTTGCACTGCTTTATTAGAAACTTCATATTCCAAGTCAATGCAACAGAAGCATACAATAAACAGAATTATTGTAGTATTAGTAACTCTGGAAAATCTAAAGTTCTGTATAAAAAAGAAAGGCTGAGTTTCATTTGCAGATGGATGAGCTCTCAGCAAACTTAATATAGACTTAGGTGAATAAAGGCACAAGGTACAGCTAAGGATTACTTTAAAAGCTACAATGAGAAGATTGACTGAAGTGGCTAAAATTAGGTCAGGGCTGTCACCAAAAGAAACTGCAGGAGTTTCATGTCATGGAGGTATTTTAAATTAGTGAAGCAGCTTCTTTTAAGTGCTGTCTTGCAGGCACATACCCTCCTGAATGAACTACATCAGCTGAGAAATTGCAAGCCCCCTGCCAGCAGTGCAGCATGTAAACCCAACCTTTTGTTAAAGCCCAGCCCTCAGCATCACCCATTCTCTCCTGGAAGCAGCACTGAAGCCTATGGTTCTAACTTGACTTAGCTAGGGAGCTACAGGTCTGGCAGAGTAACTGGAATTCTTACAGCCCTTACAAGCAGAATCAATCACACACTGAAGTCCCATCCTGCAAACCATCTCTGGAGGCTAAAATATGGGAATCTTCCTATTTTTGAGGAACTTCTACCAAAGACATCACTATTCACAGTAGACAGGAAGCCATGACAGACACTAACACAGCCTTTGGGTAAGGTCTGTCAAACAAGCATCCACACCTCAAGCCTCTGAAATAAGTTAAGGCAAGCTGCATGCCAGCTGCTGGAAATTAAGTACAAGAAAAAGCAATAAGTTGATTTACTGAGTACCAAAAAACTGCTTTGTAAGCATAAGCAGCAATTTCAAAACCAACCAACTGTAAAGTTGCCAACACAATGCACAGGTACTACTGAACACAAACAGCCAAAGCAAGCCCGGGAATACCTCCTGATTAGTTCCTAAAGCATGTTAGGGATCTAGTAGTGAAATCAGACATTCCACAGTGAGGAGGTTTCACTCCCCTCTTCACACACTGTTGCTCGGTCTTCAACGTTTATGAGGCCCCTGAAGTGGTTCCTATCCTGACACTTCATTAGCCTACTCTGAAAGCTGGAAGTGTATTTGTACCTAACAAAACAAAAAAGCCAAAAAACCCCACCCCACCAACCAAAAAAATATCCCAAATGCACTCAATCCCCAACCTACCACCATGTTATCACAACACACAGCCCTACAAATAAGTAACTTAAAGCTTAAAAGCCTGATTTTCATTGTTACTTCTTTTTGTTTAAACCCTCCCCTTGTTTCAGAGTTAGTGTTTCTATCATCAGAAATATCTGTTTACTAGTTCACCTTCCCAGTACTGGTTTATGGGGGAAAAACTAAAAAAAATTACATACAAAAACCATATTTGCCATGAGATGCAAATGCAACATTCTCAAATTCTGAAAATGGCAAATAGTATTAAATGAAAGAGAGAGCTTATATGAAAATGTAGCCAGCTGCTTTTCTCCGTAGTTTAAGTCAGGAAGCAGCCACCCATTTAAGAGATTGAACTTTAGAAGTTTACCTCTGCATCATATCTGACAGCAGCAGAGAGCAATGAAAATGCATTTTCCACAGTAATTCCTCTCTTGATAATGTGCTGACACAGTTTTTTCAGTCTGTTTTCACAGTATGAAGTAGCCAAATCCAAAAGCCCTGCAAATTGAAACATCATCTTATCAGTCAGTTGTAAAATTATCTCTGCTCTTTCAACATCTGTTTCTGCCCCTGCAAAGCTCTGTATCTCTATAATGTGCTTTTTCCAAGAAGGTCACTATTCAGAAAATGCAGATTAAAGGCAAAGAAGGGCTTTTTATTACCCCATTCTGCACTCCTGTTAATTTCTGTAAATATGAAAGCTGTCCTACTGACTTGCATACCTAGTGGCAGGCACCACAACATGAGTAAAAAACTACTATTATCAAGAAAGAGG